ATATCACTGTTATAATCAGGAAAATGAATTTTACAAAGGAGAAAAAAAAAAGATCTAGGGCTGAGAGATGGCTCGGTAGAGAAAGTGCTTGCTGGGAAGGAATAAGGGCCTTCCCCCAACAGGCATGTGAACACCCAGACATAGCCACGTACATTCACAGACAACCCCAGTATAGAAGAAACAAAACATGGGTGCAGGAGGGAGCTCCTAGGGTTCATTAACCATCTACCCTAGCTGAACGGATGAGCTCCAGGTGCAGAGACCCTGCCTCGAAAAGTAAGGTGGAAAGTGATAGAGGAAGGCATCTTGTCCTCAACCTGCACACACACAGACACATACACAGAGACGCACAGACATGTACACACGTACATACAGACACACACACACACACACACACAGGTACGAATAAAAGTGTTTGGGGAGAGGCACTGACCCACAGGACCCATTTGGTCTTGTCTTGCCGGCTGGCCCCTGCCATGGCTATAGTATGCTTTTGCATTGATATTTCTCAACTCACGTTTTTTGTTTGATTCACTTCATTTCTTCCCTTCCCCACGACTTCATTGTTATAGACCATAAGGCAGCCAACAGGAACTTCAGTATTTTCAAGTGCTTCTTTGGCCTGAAACACAAAGTGGAAAATCTCAGAGGTGACGTGTTGGGGAATATTATTTTCAGGTGTGACTTTTGTTTACCCTGCAGTTCTTTAACTCTGGGAAGCTGTGTTACCAGGCCTGTCTAAACATCTGACGGTCTAATAAAGAGCTGAATGGCCAATAGTGAGGCAAGAGAAAGGATAAGTGGAGCTGGCAGGCAGAGAGAATAAAAAGGAGAAACGAGGAAAAAGAGAAGAGAAAAAGGAGAAGACGACACTAGGGGTCAGCCACCCAGTCACTCGGCCAGTCATGGAGTAAGAAGGAAAGTAAGGTATACAGGAGTTAGAAAGATAAAAGCCCAGAGGCAAACGGTAGACAGGATAATTTAAGTTAATAAAAGCGGGCAAGAAGCAAGGCAAGCAAAGGCCGGGCCTTCATATCTAAGAATAAGCCTCCATGTGTGATTTGTTTGGGAGCTGGGTGGAGGCCCCCCCAAAAAAATCAAGAGTAAAACATGCCACAACAGTTATGTGTGGTGCTTGAAAGGCTACGCAAAAGAGAAAAAATGCGAGCAGATGCGCGGATAATGACCAAGACAAATCACGCCTGTGCTTCCTCGTCTCGGGTCTGGTATCTTTGTGCTGTGTGGTGCTGTGTTCTCTGCTGGGTGTCTATGTTCAGAAGGATTGGGAATGTCTCCCTTCACAAGCCCTGAGCCTCATTTTCTCTCACTGGTAGCACAGGTAATCAGTGGCTTTTGACTGGTGTTTTTAAAATTCCAAAGCCACCCCTTCTAAGACATGATATGTATATTTACAAAGAGGTGAGAGAACACATATCTAAATATTTGTTACAATACTTTCCCTTGATTAAATTCTACTTGATTGCTTTTTTCCCCTTTCTTTAAGAAGAAGAAATGATCCCACGGAGTATCAATAACATAAAAAGGATCAGAGTGGATGTCTCTCTGTCCCACAACTTCTGTTCTAAGAAACATGTGCAAGTTTAGGGATATTTTTTATGTAAAAATGGCATAAACTTGGAAAATATTTTGGACATTTCTTTTAAAAACCAATATGCATAAAATCTATGATCCACACTGCACAAACATACACAGTAAGCTGATGAAACTTTAATAAGCTCTTTGGAGTGTACCAACGAGATTTCCCTGGCTCTGATAGTGTACCACAGGTAGATAAGCTGTAACACTGAAGAAAATTCATGAGTGAATCCTCTCTATGTACATTTTTACTTTTTCGCAGTTTCCTGTGGTATAAAATGATTTCAAAAGGGCAAGATAGTACCTATAACTAAATAAGAATCTAGCAAGTCTATTGAGGGAAGGCCATACTATTGACTGTTACAGAAGAAAAATAGAAAAATACAGACCAAAAAGGAAGGGGATATTAGCTGGGCCAGACCAGTGACAGAAGTAATTTAGATGAAATGGCAGAAAAAGAAAAGCATTGTCTTGAAAAACAATTTCCTGGGGCTGGAGAGGTGGCTCAGCGGTTAAGAGCATTGCCTGCTCTTCCAGAGGTCCTGAGTTCAATTCCCAGCAACCACATGGTGGCTCACAACCATCTGTAATGCAGTCTGGTGCCCTCTTCAGGCCTGCACGTAGACAGAATATTGTATACACGATAAATAAATAAATATTGGAAAAAAAAGAAAAACAATTTCCTGTAGTTCAGATTCTCAGCTTCCAAGTGGACATTTCCAAGTAGCTCTCTTAAGAGGCAACACGCTGTCTACACCTTATCCTCAGAGGTGGAAAATTAAGTTGTTCTCTTGTTTTGTAAGTGTGGTTTGATATGGGACTATTTAATCACTTCATAACTATAAATCCCTTTTTGTTAATAATCCTAAAGTGATGGGGGACACGGATCTCCATTGTGCAGATGAGGAAACTGAAGTGCTGGGAAATCATACACCTTGGTCGTCTGAGAGATTTGTAATAAAAGTCTCAGAAGTTTGACTTTCCTCATTACACACTTCACAGATTATTGGAGCAACTGTTAGCATCAGATGCTGGGTTCTCCGCATCTTCCTCTCTAACCTCTCTTTATTAACCAACGACTTCACTGATCAGACACTTATCTGGTTTTGGGCTTAGAGTGGGTCAAGAGACAAAAGGAGACACGGAGAGTTTGAAACTAAAAACTGTAAGAGGATAAACAGAACATGAAGAAATGGAGCTGCGATGGCAGGAGGAGCTTCAAACACAAAGAACAGAATCAAAGACCTGGCCAGGAACATGGTTCAGTAGGTAAAAGGGCTTGCTTTGAATGCCTAATGAACTGAGTTTAATCTCTGGATCCCACAAAGGAAGGAGAAAACTCTGTCCTATCAAAAGTTGTCCTCTAATCTTTATATATGTGTAACTTGTGCATATATGTGTGCACGCACATGCACACATACAACACACACACACACACACACACTAGTTTGTAAACTCCCCAACCAAATAGGAAGTAACTAGGTAGAAGGAAAGAAATAGGGAGTGCTAAGAGCCCTGGTCACTGTGCACCTGACATGGCCCGTGGCACTGCTGCCCGGTCAGCCTTTCTCTGCTGCCAGGTCAACAGAGGACTGGGCGTCATGGTACCTAGTTCCTCTGGGTCCTCTCTTTTTCCTTCCAGTCAGTTTATCTCCCTAGAAATGATAGGATGACCTAAAAGAGACAAGCAGCATTGCTGATAAGGAATGGTCCTATAGGCCATGCTGAGAGTGGGTGTGATAGCAGTCCAGAAAAAGGGAGCTGAAAATACAAAGCCTGTGCGAGTTGGTTTAGAGGCATTGTCTTCCAACGCATTTCCATGAAAGTGTGCATACGTTTCCTCTACTGACAAGTTCAAAACTTGTACGAAAGCCGGACATCCATGTCACTCCATTCTATCTCAGACTTTCCAGTGCCCCTCCCACCTCCTCTGGCCAGTCCCTTCCTCCCGTCACAAGTGCAAGAGAGTTCAAGCAAAACACGTCTAATAGTGTAGAGGGCTTTGAACTTTAGAAGCTGGACTTCTTTGGAAGAGGCCAAAGCTTGGCCACTGAAATGGCCATTTGATCTTCCATAAACTAATAAAATTCTCAACTTCAAAACTGAAGAACAAAAGCTCTCTTCTTCCCACCCTAGGTTCTGAAAAAGACGACCAAAAAAAAGTGTTAATAATAATAAAAAAGAGAATGCATTTTCCATTAATGAATAAAAATGTGTGCTTCTGTTTGCACAAGGACAGAAATACAAGAAGCATGCTCACAAAATGTCCTCAATGCTATCTCTGAGGTCAGGACTTTAGGTAATTTTTGCCTAATTTGTTAAATGTTCTAGACTTTATTTTATTATGAATGTGAACTTTTATAAACATTAGAAGAAAAAGTTGAAATATTTTAATTTTGTAAAAGAATAAGCAAAAAGAACATTCCAACATCAATGGCTGAGCTGTTTTAAGGCCTTTATAAAGATGAGAACAAATCGGTGTGTAGATGGCTATACCACCTAGATCCCTGTTAAGTACATCCTTAATGCTCACAGAATGAAAACCAAGCACTAGAAAAACCACACACACACACACACACACACACACACACACACAACCTATCCCTGTTACATATTAATATAGGTAAAATTAAGAACAAGATGTAAATACGACCAGAGCCCTCCATAATTAGCAATCCTTAAAGGGATCGAAGAAAAGAATACAAGGGCAGAGAAAAGTATTGTAAAAAGTAAGCGAATGATAGGTGAGAATTGTACAGGTACACGTTTTCATATGACTCTCTACCAGAAACAGCTTCAGCTTCCTTTCATTTTAAATGTTCAAGGGTGTCGGGAGCAAAGCACAAAATAACGTGGCTGTGTGGATCTGAAAGTCTGTGTCCATCCATGGAGAGGAAGGTAGGCAGGTAGGTAAAACAGCAGCTAGGGCTACGTGTAATACATACGGCACACCAACCGTTCTCTGTATTTTCCCTCAACCCCAATTACTATGAGACAACGCTAAAAAAAAATTTCCCGAGAATAAAACAAGCTGTTGATTTAGATATTTTGAGAGCCGATAGGCAAAGGTGATGAGAAAGTGCGCCAGCCACATTTGCTCAACTACCCGGGTCAGGGTATGGCCGGGAGAAAGTTTGCACCCTCATCATCCACCTGCCGGCTTCCTCACCATGCGCATCGCCTCCTCCATCCACTTTTCGGTCTCCTGTGCCGACACCAAGCACGAGCCGTCTGGAGCAGTGGAGAAGTCCACCTTTTCCTCCATGGCGCCGTCAGTCAGAGGCCCGGGCCGAGGAGCCAGAGAAGACCGGACAGCAGCGGAACGCGGAGGGCACGGGCTCTTGCTTCCGGGAAGACAGAAAAGGGCGAAGCACCCGGGAGCTATTTGTGGACGGACCCAGGCGTCCCGGACTTTAGTAAGCGGCGGCGCAGGGAGGGCCGAAAGCGCTGCTGCTCTGCTCTAGTCCACGCCTCCTTCCTCCGCTCCGGTGAGAACCTCTGCGCCAAGAAGCGTTTGTGCTTTCAGGAGAGTACCTAGCACCTCCGCCGCTCTTCGGCCGGAGGTCTGGCCCAGGTAGACGAAGACACGGTTTCCTGGTGAGGCAGCCCCTCTCCCCTAGGTAACCCACACACCCAGGGTCTGAAGATGCTGAGATCAATGTGGAATTTTCTGAAACGTCACAAAAAGAAATGCATCTTCCTGGGCACAGTTCTTGGAGGTGAGTGACAATGTGCTTTGTTGGAAGGGGACTTTGGCAGAAAAGGAGAGACAGAGGTGACTTCTAAAACAGGCAGGGCCCACCGGTCCCAGTGGAGGGATTGGCTCAACCGTCAAAGAAGAACCTCTGGGGTTCTTTTATCTCGGCTCTCTGTGCCCTTTGCCCCTCATTCTGTCCCCTGCTCCCCCCCCCCCCCCGGGACTTTGGAAACCTACCCCCATGAAGTTTCTTTTCGAAGCTCTAATCTTGTATAGATACATTTGCCTTCCTATTATCTTCTGCTGCTTTCCTGTTAGATTTCTTCATTCTTTTTGGCATCAGTACTCTGGCTTTTAACCTTTCACAGGAGTTTCGAAATATTCTGGGGCAGTTAGCTTAAGTCTGTACTTGGGGTGGTGTTTAAAGTTAACTTGAAAACAGGTATAACATGCTACTGTAAGATACCCTAAATAAATGGGGGGGAGAGTATTTTTGATTCTCTAGTTTCAAAATACAAATTATGCATCAACAAAACGCTTAGGATTGGGTTAGTCGCTTTAGTGTTGTCAAAACTGTCATTGTTGGTCATTGCCTGTTTTGCTGATATAGTTGAGTTCACTGACTGAGAGGAGAGTTAGAAACACATAGAATATAAAAAAAATCTAGATGATGGACTTGTAGCTTTGTGATAGAGTGCTTTCTTAGGCTGACAGCATTAGATCTCAGGCAGTACACACACACGACTTTAAATCCCTTGTCTTCGTAAAACACACAGTTCATAATTCTGGGATTTTAATAAGGGAATTGAAAATCTTTTGAGTTACACAAAAAGAAAACTTTGGAACTTTTAAAGAATTTTTAAAACTTGAGTTTTAAGAAATGTCATCACTATCCACTTATCCTAAAATAGTAGGTCACTGATATGGCAATAGTCAGTCATGTTCTGCTTGTCTCTGGTTTGTCTCTGCTTGTCATTGGATAACGACTGATAATCACCCTTGAGAAATACTTTATAGATACAGTATGTTTTCTGTTACCTTCAGTGTCTACTATCTAAGCTATATTTAAATTGTACCAATATTACAAAATACATATGTGAAAGATAAAGATGTATGTCTCATAGAAGACATATAAATAAAGATTTTGCTCTGCCAAAGGGGAAAAAATGTCTCTCACAATTTTGGAGGGGAAAGCCCACCCCGTAATGGCAGATCAGAAAAATTCATAGGAGAAGATATGGTAATAGATTTTCTTTTGGAGCTCTAGTGAGAGCTTCATAATTGCAGATTGAGAGGAAGGAAAAAGCTGGGTGTGGTGGCACATGCCTTTTATCCTCGCACTTGGAGGCCGAGGCAGGCAGATCTCCTGAGTTGGAGGCCTGGTCTACATAGTTGGGTCCTAGAACAGCCAGAGTTTCATAGTGAAACCCTGTCGTGGAAAGAGGAAAAAAAAAGGAAGGAAGGAGAAAATACTTATAGGCATAATAGAAACACTGCAACTTTCTAGCAAAACAGAAAGTATTAAAAGTTCATATCTACTTTTGATTTGTAAAGAGATCATATTTTTTCAGTGTCATGAGGAAATGCCTATCTTATATTTCAGTTTAAGAAATGTTTATTAATTGAATGTACTGCTGGAAGTAGTATACAAGTTACAGATTTTTAATCATTAACATTTATTAGAGACCCACTGTATGTTGAACACTGTGCTATGCTCTTTCCAGCCAATGGAAACTACAGCAGGATAGTTACATTTATGCCATTTTTAAAATGTAGAAATGAGAGCACATAGAATTAAGAAGCTTGCCAAGGGTTTGAGTTACTACAAGGAAGTAAGAATTCAGCCCCAGGTTTGTTAGAACCCAATGCACGTTATTATTCCGTACTTTACCACTCTGCCTTTGTGGGTTCTTTGATCTTTTAAGAACTGAGAAATAAGTGAAAGACCGTGATATTAAAAGACCATGAGAGAGTTAAATCCAGAACATATTGATATGTAGCAATATGCAATTGTACAAAGTAAGGAAGGATTTCACAAGAGGAGTGACACATTTGGACAGACTTGAAAGCTGACGAAGGTGTTGTACATGCTCAAGGGAGTTGAGATATTTAGTGCTGGAAAAATACAGGCAAACAGAACTTTAAATAGCATGGCTTCAAAAGTTAGAATTTCTATTTCCCTGTATTTTGGATGATAATTGCTTCATGTCTGTCTATGAAGTTTGATCATTTGAGACGGGCCAAGAGCAGTGGTTCTCAAACTGTTTGATGGGAAATCTCCTTTGTACTCTTAGAAACTAAGCCCCTCTCCAAGATACCTAAGTTCTGTATCTATTAACTGTTTTAACTTCAAATATAAGAGGGTTTTAAAGTGTTTATTAGCCCATTTGTGATAACAATAATAAGCATGTCAAATATTAGCATAAGACATCTTCACGGATAAGAATGATATTGTTTTACAATTGCAAAACTCTTTATTTAGTTTGGCTTAGCTGCAAAATAAATTTGTGTACCTTCTGTAGTCAGTCATGTGTGAAACCACCCATTAATTAGCTTCTAAATTCTCCCCATCAGGAAAAGAATGTAGAATGCCAGTGACAGTATTTTAGTATGACAAAAATATTGTGGACCTTACAGATGCCTAAACCAACTCCAGGGATGTCCGGACCATAGTTTGAAAACCTTTGTACAAGAGAAAGTGTTAGAAACCGAAGGAGCTAGATGCATATTTATTGTCTTACAGATAAAAAAAAAAAAAGCACAGAACACTGAGCTGTATCTTAAACCTTGTAATTTTTAACCTCTTTGGGTTTTGGGGTTTTTTTTCTTATTTTTTGTCATTTATTTGCTCAACATTTGAATAAGAATAAGGCCTACTCTAACTATACTGGGCTCTGACTGTACAAAGAATAAGACAGCATTTCTGACTCTGAGGAACTCATGGTCTAGTCTGGAAAATAGGGATAGAAGTAAGTAGAAGCAGTATGAAGTGTGGAAAGCCTTCCTAACTATGCCACTGTGTTTGATGTGGGCAGGGTTGTGTGTGTGGTTACGCTCAGACTTTACTATGGATGAACCCATTGAAGGAATTTGGAAAAATATAGAACTCTACCCTTCACATTCTAGTCCTTCAGATGTAGTACAGTTCAAGAATGCCTCATACTGGAGGCATTGGAGATGTCTCCAGGTGGTATAGCACTGGACTCCCATGGACAAGTTTATTAGTCAGCACTGGAGAAAAAAAGTGAAAGAGAATCAAAACATCAGAACTTGGGATCTGCCAAGTTAGAAGTGATATTGGTTAATTATTTTCAGATTGCTGTAGAAAATAATTGTGCTGTAGTAATATTTACCCTGAAAGACAAGACTAAGAGGTGGTTTTAAAGCAGATGATTTATACAAAGACTAGAAGATATTTTTGCTTCACTAGCCATGAAAGGAAATGTCAAAACATTTTCACTTATTTTTTTGGGCATTTAATAGATATTTTCATTGCTAATAAAGAAGGTTATAGTTACAGAGAAAATCTGAAACTATTTGACTTTACACAGATGTATGCCCAGAGAGAATAAGTCACCTGCTCCAAATCCCCTCACTTGCTGTCATTTTCTAGTTCAAGAGTCAGGCTACCAGTAAAGTATATATAGTCCTGAGTAGTATAGCTTAACTGATGATATGTTTTCTTTCATTAATATTTTCTAGAGAAACAGATCTAAAGAAGTCAATTTGTGGATTTTGTATATGGGATCCTAGTGATCTAGACCTTGAATAGGAATGAATATCAATGCTGGCTAAAAGAAAATAGTGGGTCTAGGGCTTAAGCCTAATTTCACGTGTCACTTTTCTAGGGATTCCACAGTGAAGACCTCCAAGATGAGTACCTTAAGAAACCGAAATTTATCTTACAGTTTTGACAGTTAATAGTCCACTATCAAGGTGTCAGCAGAGGGTGTTCCTTCTGTCATGTGGCCATCTTGTTTCCACAGTCTTCTTACAACAGAAGTCTGACTGCCATGAAGCCACAGAGAGTCTCTAGGAGCCTTCCATTGCCTTCTCTCTGTGCATATCTGTCTAAATTTCACTTTCTTAACAGGACATTGGTCATGTTGGTTTGGGGTCCATTGATCTTTGTATTGACCTCACATTCTAAGGTGCTTAGCCGTCAATATATTAATCTGGTGCAAAGAGGGAATGGATAGAATTCAACCTGTAGCAAACCATTTCTCTTTTGAGCTTTAGCTAGAGTATACTGCACTTCCCAAGTAAATACAGAATTCCTAAGGTTTTATTTTTTAAATGAGATTTATTAAGAATATGATGAAAGAGACAGGCCATCTCCCCAAGAAAATACACATGACAATCAAATTTACCACTGTTCCAGAAAAATTATGATCTATGCAAAGAATGTCACATCAACAAATCAGTTTACAATATAACTTGAGAGATAATAATCATTGTGTATGTAACTTTCAGTAATGTGTTATGGAGATAAGCTACAAGCAATGCATTAAAAACTAGTTGCACTAGAATTGCCTGTTGGAGGGTCACTTTGCTAAATATAAGTCAGTTTCTTCATTTTCTTGGGATTTTAGTGTGGAGAGAATTGGAATAGGTTCTCACAGAACATCCCAGGCTGCCCTCAAAATGGTGATACCCCTGCGTCAGCTGGAATTATGGGTATGAGCCACCATGTCTCTCTTATTCTAATGATATTGTGTCTATCCTGCTATGACGTTACAGAAAATGCAGCCATTGAGCAGCTCTTACAAATTTCTCTTTGCTCTTCAAGCTTAGTTAGCACGCCTGTATTTATACACACACTAGCAGTGTATACACTGTTTCTGTTTAGCACACGATTTTGTGGAGCCATCTAAGGATATGTAGCATCTTAGAGCATCACAGCATCTTAGTGAAAATAATTTAGGATGTGTTTGTTTTGCAGTTCCTATGAAAAAATAAATCCAGCTACCTAGGTCATACATAATTCCGGAGGTCCTTTATTAGAAACTGTGAGCTACAAACAGTAGAGATAAATGAGAAATGGTTAGTCCCCTTTACCCTTGCTGCCAGATTATAATGAAATCAAGTTCTGGCACATACACAGGCATCTATTAGCAAACAACGATGAAACAGTAGCACAGTCTGCTCTATAAGCTTTGGCACTGTGGCAAAATCATGTACCTAAAACAAAGGCGACACTATTGTTGCTGTAATTCATTTGACTTGGAAGACATTTCTGGGTTCCAGGTTAAGCCTTCCCGGGGGAGAAAGATCTGCAGATTCATGTTCACAGAAATGGTTCTAAATTATTTAGCTAATCCTGTGTCTAGAACACCTACTTATGTATTCCATGAAAATCCAGTTCTGCTCTTCATTGTACTAAGCAAAATATCTGATGCTGACCAGAGATGGTCAGTTAAAGCAGACCATCTGGTATGGGGACTGCTGGGGAAAACGTAGATATCCAGGAGAGGGAGGGAAGTGAGTAGGTGGGAAATAAGAGTGAGTATGGGGGTAGTGGTGGTTGTGATCTCAATGCATTGGATACATATGTGGAGTTGATCAAATTTTAACGCTAGGTGTTTATCATATTCCCAGTTAGGAAAACCAATGTCCACTCATCCTACATATAAACATGTACCCATTTATATCGTATCACCTGTGCGTACATGTGCTAAAGACTGCAGGATACTGCCGTAGTTTACATTGCTGTGTTGTGATGCTGTCCTCCTGCTCTCTTGTAGTTGAGTAGTTTTTAGATGATAGCAGTTATAGTTTCTTTTTCTCAGTTTTTTTTTCTAATAAATGGGTGGATAAATACATGACTTCCCAACTATGTACCTTTCTCTCATTCCTTTAAATCTCTTATAGAGACTTTTAAAATTATTTGTTCATTGAATAAAATTTGGAAAATAGAGAAAAGCAAATAAAAGTGAGAAACCACAATTATTACAGTTTACTTTACTTTAGAAGTAAACTTATCTGTTTCTTTTCCATTATAATACAAACTTCCTGAATGTTCTTTTATCACCTAATAATGTAAGGTAGATATTTCCTCAGTCATTAACTATTTAGCAATGTGGTTTTTAATAGATACATAAGATACCATTATGTGGACAGATCATAATTTATTGAAATAACTTTCTGTTGCTGGACATTTAGAATATCTCCAGTTAACTATTAAAGATGCTGCCAGGCTTCATAAATTCAGTGCCTTTCTGCTTCTTGTCTGCCAATTACTTCTCTTGTTGCTGGCCATATTAAAATACATTTTATACATATAAAATAAATAAGAAAATAAAATATGAAGTCTCCTTTCCTTTTTCAGTTCTTTAATGAAAGTTTTTTTCGGAGCTGTAATATTGTCCCTAATATAAACCTTATAATTTAATCAGAAATGCCTAAAAAAATTAGTTGGGATTTTTAGTACTCTAATTAATATACTTGTATGTTTTTAATGATTTTAGGAGTATATATCCTGGGAAAATATGGACAGAAAAAAATTAGAGAAATACAAGAAAGAGAAGCTGCAGAATACATTGCCCAAGCTCGGCGACAGTATCATTTTGAAAGTAACCAGAGGACTTGCAACATGACAGGTAAGCAGAGATATAGATGTATTTATGTGGAAAAGTGCTTGTTGGTTTGTATTAGTGCACATATTTTCAGACCTCAAGTTATGGGAAAGACAAGAAAAGATGCTAAATTCTTTTAATTCTATTAACAGAGACATAAAATTTCAATGTGAATTTTTAAAAACAGTATAAATACTCATTTATTCATTCAGCAGACATTCTTGGTGCCTACCCGTGAGGAAGTAGGCAGTAAAGGAAAATCCCTGAGCTCTAAGGTGTATGTTCCGGTGAGAAGATGATAAGCACAGCAAATAAATAACCCTGGGTAGTGGTGGATCTGTAAGGGGAGAACACTCTGAGGAGTGGACACCTGTCCTGCCTCTGACCAGATGTTGTGTGTAGAGAGGCCGCACAGTACAGTAGAGAGAGCAGATGCCTGAGATGAGAACATGGAATGGATGAGGAATGGATGGGTGCGAGGAAACAGAGCTCCAGAGCTAAGCCAGACCCGCATGGCCTCAAAGGCCACAGCAAGGAGTCAGAAGTCTGTTACCTTTGCAGCAGGACACTGCAGGATGTGGGCATTACATAATGGCGTCTGCTCAGTCACTTAATTAATGGTAATAATGTAACTACCAGAGCTAGAAACCTACTGGGAAAATGGCATAATAAAAGCAGCCTGCTCATATTTGGAGAGAGCAAGAGCATTACACCAGCTAGAAAACTACCAGTTGAAAACTAGATAATCAGTTATATGTCAAGCCTGTTCTTTTCGCTGTTTAAAGCTCATTTTTTTTCTGTAACATTTTCTTCAAGAATAACTAATTTAGAAAGAATTTACCAAGCAAGCTAAGTGCTTCTTGTTCAGCTTACATGTAGGACTTTTCTCTAGATTTAAAAGGACTTTATTGCTAGCTCACTTGCCTCATTTCATAGATAGAGATGCTAAGATAAAAAAGAAGAGATAGTTCACAGCCATATGTGAGTTTTATATTTGAAGTAATCCTATCTAACCATATGCTTCCATTCTGTGAAACCCTAGTCTTGTCTGTAATGACAGCTCTCATGTGCACAGCCAGGATGACAGAGCCTCTAGGGAGGGGCTGAGCTGACCTAATTTCAGATTTGTATTATCTGTGTTCTGTGAGCTAAGCTAAACATCAGCTCTTTCTATATAAAACCCCAATCATAAACTTACTTCAGAAATGGTTTGTGAGGGACCGGGTATGTATCGCAGTTGGTGAAAGTGCCCCCGTAGCATGCATGAAGCTCTGAATTAAATCCATATCCTAGCACTGAGGATCCTGAGGCAGGAGGATTGTTTCAAGTTTGAGGACAGCCTCCTCTACATAGCAAGTTCTAGAGCAGTCAACACCATATAGCATGTCCCTGCTTTAAAAAGAAAGATGAGGCGATCACAAGCTGATGGACATAAAGTGCTTGGCACATGGGTGCTCAGCAAATGATGACCTCACAGATCTCACTGAACTAGCTGCTACTGCTAAGGACATTTCCGTGAATTTTTAGAGAATATTAATAGTCTGAGATTATTATGCAATTTTTCATAAAATGGTAAAAGGTCACTCTTGGGATCTCAAAATATATCTCAGCTTGACAGGATCCTGAGTCAGATTGGGCCTCACGTGGGATGTGTGAGCAATTTCTTGGGGAAATGCCTATGAAGAATAATAGCAAGGTGGTTAAGGAAGATCTCTGACACTTGTGGAAGGGAGGAGTTGTAGGTAAGAAGAGCCCCAAGCTAGGCATGGTGGTGCACACTTTCATGCATAGAGAGACAAGTGAGCTAGCAATCCCAATATTATAAAATCCCAGGGGACAGAGGCAGACAGTTCTTTATGGGTTCAAGGGCAGCGTGGTCTTTTTAGCCATGTTCCAGGACAGCTATAGTGAGACCAAGTCTAAAAAATTAAAAACTTGAGATTACTTGCCTCAGCTTTAAGGAAACTCTGTAAGTTAACAGGCGCCTACAAGCCCCGATTCCTTGGTAGGAGTCCCCACCCAAGTACTTATTGCCTAGGAGCAATTCAAACCTAGTAATGAATCTGTAGGTTAATTCTGCTGCTCTTAGACGATGTAGCTGACACATGCCCATGGCCGTCACAACCCTCAGCAGACTACAGGCAATTAAAATAGCATATCATGATCACTAGAAGGTAAAATATACATTCCCTGGAAAACATGACAAACTAACTTCTGGTATTTATCTACAAGGAGGCTACAAATAATGTGATTAAATTTTTATCATAGAAATCTTTGGTGATATCCAGAGGTGCTAAGGACATTAGTTTGCATACATGAGAGGTCTTTGCCTTGAGTGTTGTAAAAGCTGCTGTGCTCTGTCCGTTTTCTTTATTGTGTTTGTGAGTTTAAATTTACACGACATAATGCTTGCTTATGTTCATCGCTGACATCACTAATAAAGTTTCAGACTATAAAATACTCTTGTTTTATTTGGACTGTGATAGACATTTTTTTCTGTATAATGAATCAATCTTACAGATACACAATGATCCAGAATATTGAATAAAGATTGGGAATTCTAATGACTTGTAATGAACAAACAGTACACTATGACTTCTAAAAATACTTATTAGTTGACTACAGTAATTGGGCTATAGTAATGAGTTATGTAGTTTGGATAAAGAACTGACCTCTACTGACTCCTGCATACACATGATACACAGATATACAATCAGGCACATGCAAATACATATGAGATAAATTACTTTTTAAAAAATTTTGTTGAAAGCAGATGACTGAAGATACAGAAACTTACTCAGTTTTCTTACAGGTGGCTAGAGGAGAATAGAATTATCAAGAGATAATTTAATAATGAAATATGTAATAGCATATATATATTTAAATATATAAAATATATATAAATATATAAGTAGATATATAAAATAATAAATAATAATCAGAGACTCTTCAAACTAGATTGTCATATCCCATAATCTTTAAAGTAGTTCCCCCACGCGCCATTCTAAATGTGGGATTAGGGCTTTGTTCTTTCTTTGTAAGGTAACATATTTTCCCTTAGCCATCAGGAAGAATTGGTTCCAAGAGGATGTGCAACTGTTACATTAAGTAGCCTAGTATTTTCAATAACCTAAACTCGTCCTTCCATATACTTGGAATCATTTTTAAAGATTTTGATTATGTAATAAAATATAACTGGTAGTTATTTTTTTAGAGAATAATAAGAAAAAAGTAGGTTCATGTTTAGTACAAACACAGTTTTTGAATATTTTGATCTGCAGTTGTTTGAATCTATAGGTGCAAAGTCTACCGATACACGGGGGGGTGGGTAACCATTTAGAGTAGACTTATGTACCACCTACACAGAGCCAGGATACTCAGATTCCGAGCCACTTCTTTAGCTAACTGTCTCAACAACGTAAGAAGATATAAATGTGCAGGCTGAGGACATTTACCAAAACTATAGAGTATGAAAGATTAAAGTACAATATTGAGCATTATAGAGCCTGAAATTCCCTATATAAGAATGGATTTTCTTGTCTCATCAAAAAAGAAAAAATGTATTTCCAACTTTTGCCTTCTAAAAGGCGGTATTTGTAATCTTTTGATTGTTTTTTTAATCATTCCTTGTCTCATGCTAAAAGCTCCTTAGTTTCTTTTTTTTAATTTTTTAAATTTATTTATTTATTTATTAAAAGTTTCCACCTCCTCCCTGCCTCCCTTTTCCCTCCCCCTTTCCACCTCCCCCTCCTTCTCTAGTCCTAAGAGCAGTCAGGGTTCCCTGCCCCGTGGGAAATCCAAGGTCCTCCCCCCTCCATCCAGGTCTATAAAGGTGAGCATCCAAACACACCAGGCTCCCACAAAGTCAGTCCATGCAGTAGAATCAAAACCCAGTGTCATTGCCCTTGGCTTCTCAGTCAGCCTTCATTGTCAGCCACATTCAGAGTGTCCAGTTTGATCACATGCTCCATCAGTCCCAGTCCAGCTGGCCTTGGTGAGCTCCCATTAGATCAGTCCCACTGTCTCAGTGGGTGGACGCACCCCTCATGGTCCTGACTTCCGTGCTCATGTTCTCCCTCCTGCTCCTCATTTGGACCTAAAGTCCAGTGCTCCAATGTGGGTCTCTGTCTCTATCTCCATCCATCACCAGATGAAGGTTCTATGGTGATATGCAAGATATTCATCAGTGTGGCTATGGGACAAGGCCAGTCCAGGCACCCTCTCCTCTGCTGCCCAAGGAACAATCTGGGGACCTCTCCTTGATTTCTGTGTGTACATTTCTTATGCTACATGTAGAGGCACAGTAGACTTGTGACTTTGTGTATACTCTCCCCCATAGAGTTCTGTATCTCCTTTTGTCTTCATATTATTCCTGGCACTGATAGATAATACTACAGCCATTAGCAAAACTTAAATTGAAATTCGGGAGCACTCAGTGGGTAGATGAATGCACCATTACATATATTATAATAAATGTAGTCTTGTTGTATTTAACAAATAATATTTTTCTAGAATTAGAAATCTGAAACAAAAGATATGAATATAAAAACCTTGGCTTTGATCACTTTTATTATACCAGAAATAAACTTAACATTGAGAATTTTGGAGTATAGAAAAGAAGGAAAAGGAGCTATCCATAGACATCATCCACACATCCCCACTGTTCCCTTCCTGTCTTCGGCATGTTCTTGTTTACATCGCTCTGATTATGATAAAGTGTTGTTGTGGTAATGCAAATAAATGCCTGCTTTCTTAGTTTTACATAATTAATTGGAATTCTTTAACTTGGATGGTTCCTCCCAACTCCTGTTAGTTGCCATTATACAGCTTAAAACATACGAATATCTCAATGAGTGTGTTCGTGTCATCTGTGAGTGTCTTTATTTTCTGTTTGCGTTACAGTGCTGTCCATGCTGCCAACTCTGAGAGAGGCCTTGATGCAGCAGCTCAATTCTGAGAGTCTAACAGCTTTGCTGAAAAACAGGTAAAAGCAAGTTATGTTCTTTGCCTTATTAGAATGCAGTCAAAGTTTACAGAATGAACTAAATACTTTTAATAAGTGATTGTTTCCTTACTTTTTAGTTAAAACTTGCATAGGCTCAGTTTAAAAAAAAATAAATGTTTATATCACTTAATTAATATTTCCTTTTATTTTAGCTCTGCCTCATTATACTAATCATGTGAGCAATAGTATGTATTGTTTTATATGAATATTTTATATAATTTTTACATTATTCAGCAGTTTACTTATTGAGTGTTTATAGAATATAGTCCTGCACAAGAAATGTAAACCTAATAAAATTATGGTCAATATCGTGCTTCTCATAGTGTTAGGAATATAGTAGACTATTTTACATAAGGCACATAGTAACTGACAAATTATATACGATTATATACAATTATAAGTAACTGACAAATTGATATACAAATATAACATGAATGTGTAATGCTGACAAATTACTATGGCAGTAGAAAGCATTGCTCATATTTATAACCTAGTATGTGGCCACACACACAGGCATTAGAAGTTATTAGTTTGAGGAGACTTCTGGAAAACAAGTGACTGCTTCTTTTGATGAGCAATATATGGGCAGTAATGATTTCACTAAGCAAATTTTGTGACTGAAGGAGAGGAGGAGAGAGAGAGAGAGACAGAGGATGGAGAAAGAGAAGAGGAGCTAGACACAGGTGAGGCCCACACCCAGCAGCCTGTATGTGTTAAGTACATGCTGACCAACGAGTTACACTCCAAACAGAGTAAGTCTTAGTAACGAGGTTAATCTGAACATCTGCTTGGCTGTACTGAGCCTCCACGTAGTCGTGGGAAGAAGTGCTGTCCAGAGGCTGTGGCAGCCCTGGTGCTAGGTGCCTTCCACACATGCATGCTCTCATGCAGTTTTCACAATGCGTTTGTGGGGCAGATGTTATCATCTGTGCTTTGCAAACAGAAACTTAATACTCGGACAGGTTGAACAACAAACTTGACCAATTTGTTTTCTTGTTTCTTTTATTGTACTGGTGAGTGGACCTATAGCCTCACCCACATAAGGCAAACACTTTGTCGCTGAACTACAGTCCCAACTTTCTTTGAAATTGGTATCCAGAGAGTACATGCCAAAATAACAATGAACTTATGCTAAAACTTTGTATCTGATTAAAATATAATACCAGTGCCAGATGATTGTCATTCTCAGAAGTAGACTGAATTTAATCTCTGCTTTATAGGTATAAAATGTGACTTACAAAATAATCTGTATAATTATACGGGAAGGTATATATGGACAAATTAATCTCAAATAAATAGCTAGTCACTACTTGCATGGGCATAGTAAAGGACAAAACTAGATTTTAATTGTCATAACCTTTAATCTTATTTAGGAAGCAAAGACAAATTAAGTGAATAGGACTTTTATTTTTTTAAAAAATAGATGGATAGATAACAGTTATAATAAACGTGGTGGTATTCCTCCCCCTTGGCAAGCTTGTTTCCCATAAAGCCCTCCATTCTAAATGCCCATATTTATGACATTCTAAATGCTTAGAAGGGCTCTCACTGATTGAGATAGGGCCTCGGTGTACAGCTCAGTGGTAGAGCCTGTGATTAGCATTCTTAAGGCCCTCAACTCAATCTCTAATACCAAGAAGCAGACGAATAAAAACATAATAAAATACTTCTAAGTTTAAGGTTGAATTGATAGCCAAAAGGGGAAAATGGGTTAAATATAGTACAATTCAAAAATGTTAATTACATGGTAAAAACAGACACTAAAGGAGAATGTAGGAGTTTAGAAAAAGGTTGGCTTTGCAAAACAATATGAAAACTTGACTCAATACACAAGAAAAAGTTTAAAAGGTACTAATGAAACCTACAATTTAATGAGTTTATTTTAGAGTCCAGTTATCTCTGAATTCATATAAACCTGCCAAGCTAGTTGGTCTTCTTTCTAGACTAGTTTGTTCTTAATTGATAAGGGATGAACAAATGATCTGATAGCTTTGTTTCGACAGGTGCATGGTAGCAATAAAGAACCGCCAATGGCAGAGACTTGCATGCCCTTATCACAAGCAGCAGCATGCTTTAGCACACATTGGCCAAAGTTTTAGGTAGATATTTTAGTAACACTGAAAAGTCAAGTTGTTTTTAACTTGGACTAGATGTCTACTTGAAGAGTCCCTTTGAACAGAAACTACTTAGAAAGTACATTCCCTGCCCTATGCGATTTGAAATCAGAATTTCTTAAAAAGATATTTATGAGTGTGTGTGTGTGTGTGTGTGTGTGTGTGTGTGTGTGTGCGCGCGCGCGCACATTTTTGTTTTGTTGTTTTGTAATCCTGGGGTCTGAACCAGGACCACGTTTGTGGTAGGCAAGGGTTCTTTCTACTACTGAGCTTAAAACTACAGATACAGTCTTCGGGTGACTGCCAATACACAGGCACTACCTGGGTTGCTCACTCTGTTCTCACCCACCAAATTCCCCCAATGAAATATGGTTTAGCATGTATGACTTCAGTCCCCACACTCTTAATCTGTCATTTTACAGATTGCTGCTACTAAGTCCATCCTGTCTTGTTATATTGGCTCAGCTTCAATTGTAATTCTAACTCTGAATTTTTAAGGTTTATTATTTGTGCAGACATGCACATACACACACATGTGAATACTGGTGCTTGTGGAGCCTGGAGACATCTGATGCCCCTGGAGTTACAGGCAGTTGTGAGCCACCCAGTGATGAGGGTGCCGAGAACCAAACTTCAGTCCTCAAGAACAGTAGTATTTTTTTCCGATCCTCTGAGCCATCTCTCCACCCCATAGCTCAGTTTCTTATTGAAACACAAATTTATGTCCAGTTATAATAAGGATAATTGGCCTGTGTTTTATATCTTTGTATTCTAGTAAATAATATTTATTATATTTTGTAAAAATATTTTTGATAAATTGAAAATAGTAAAAATCCCAGTCCTTTGAAACAGGTGCCTTGGAAAACACTGCATTGTATCTATATAGCACAGGCACACACTCTAGTGCTACACCGCATCTAAATACTCTATTATTTTTATTGCTTTGTACTTATTTATTTTGTGTGTTGAAGGATAATTTTCAGGAGTTGGCTTTCTCCTTTTACTGTGTTAGTACTGAAAACAAATTCAAGATCATCAAACTTGGGAGCGGGTACCTAATACCCACTGAACAATTTTGCTGGCCCATAAATATGTTTTTAAACAAATATGCCTTTGTGCTACTATGGACTAATCTCCTGGATATGTTGCTATCTTATTTTTAAGAAAATAAAGTATGTAGTATGTCTGCATTTATTTTAAAAACAATTTGAAATGTGTTGAATAATACATACATGCTTATATAAAGCATTACAGTAGAAGAAAGCATATCTAAATAACCTTTGAATAGGAGAGAAACATGATACTCAACATACAAGTTTGTATCAATTTGACTTTATAACCCTGTGTTTTCTGTAATTATAACTATTTTTAATTTTTGAGTGATATCAAATATTTATAGTAAAATAAATAACCTGAATGTTTTCTAGTTGGTGGTATAACCACAAAGACAGAAACTGTATTAGGTGTCTTTAAATCAGAAATTTAATTAAATGTCCTTAGTGGGATAAATACTCCTGTTACCTAGAACTTAATTACTCTAACCCCTTTTGAATATTGAAACACTATTTTAAGACCTCTATTCTTGAACTGAGGGTTGAAACAGATTAATAACTATATTGTTTTCACTGATTTCTAGTGTGGGCCAAAACAAATGCATATATAAGATGAATAAAATTAAGCTAACATCTTATAAAGTTGACTTTGACTTAAACTACAAGCTTGTGACATAATTTATCTTTAAATATGTGTGTGTAAATAATATATGTTGGCAGAGGTTTCTGTCCTGCCTAGTGCCATGGTCATTTAGTCCCAAAGAAACACACAGAGGTCTAAATTAATCATCAACTGGTTGTCCTGTTAGCTCAAGCTTCTTATTAACTCTTAAATCTTAAATTAGCCCAGTATTCTTGTCTATATTAGCCACGTGGCTTGGAATTTTTTTATCAGTGAGGCAGTCTCATCTTGCTTCCTTTGTGTCAGGCTTCCTCTGTGTCAACTTCAGACTAACACTTTCCTCTTCCCAGAATTCTCCTGTTCTGGTTGCCCTGCCTATACTTCTTGCCTGGCTACTGGCCAATCAGCGTTTTATTAAAATGCAAGTAACAGATCTTTACAGGATACAAGACCATTGTCCCACAGAACTCCCCCCATCTTTTTCAAAACAGTAAACAAATGCCCCTAACGTGGACAACTGAATCCTCTTAAAACCTGAGACATTTTGGGAAGGAATTCTAAACACAAAAAGAACAGAGTTAAGCATGGCTTCTTGGTAGCAGCATTTTCTCAGGTGGACTCTATTTACTAGAGGCAAATGCATCTCATTTAAGAGAGGCATCGCTTTAGCTGCAAAAACCTTGCAGCCCTTTTAAGAGGCTCTACCACAAACCACTTAAAAAGTGTGTATGAATAGCCAACAGCAGGTATTTTGGTGGCGTCAGGGACCTTGAAACTCCATAAGAGTTGTGGCAATAAGCATGGCTCCAGCCAGTACTTCTGCCATGAGGCTAGACTCTCAGAAAGCTAAGGAATGTGGTGGCTCTAGCCGGTAAAGCCACGGCTTTAATTTTAGCCATATCGCTTAGTAAATTAAAGACTCATGTGGACAAAAAAAGAGAAATATACAGTAAAGATAGATTCAAACAAAAAAGCCTCTGAATGGTTTAGAGTGTGTTTGAAAATATATGTAGACTTGGGAGAGAAAAGAAAAAGGATAAAGTTGATAGATAGATAGATAGATAGATAGATAGATAGATAGATAGATAGATAG